GCGGCCGAGGCTGTTGCAGCAGCGCGAACTGCCGAGGCGTTAGTTGTTGCCGAACAGGAGTCGCGAAGGAAAGAATCCGAGGAGAATGCTCGAATGCGCCGGAAGGCCGAGGCGGAGATTGAAAGGCTCAAGCGTTTGCTCACCGAGGAGAAGTCTCTTCGTGAAGTTGAGGTGGCCCGGGCGAAGAAAGCTGCCAAGAGAGAAGTCGCCGAGGAGTTTATGGAGAAGGTTAAGAGGACCGAGGCGAAGTTATCGGAGTGTGACAAAATTTCCGAGCGGTACATGTACTTCTCTCAGGCAAAGGCTAATGCAGAGCTAATCGCCGCCCTTGAAGCTGGAGGGCAGATCGAAGATGAGAAGCTTGAGGTCAACAAGTGGAAAGAAGAGTTCGGGGATGCCAAGGCTGAGTATGCTAGGCTCGGGGCCGAGTTGCTCAGAGACCTCACAGTTCCTCCGGTGTCTCCTGGCTCTACTCATGACAACCTTGGAAATCGATCGGTGGAAGGTGACGCGGTCGAAGTCAGAGTTACCGATCAGGCTGGAACGAACCTGTATCCCGCGGCTGTGCATTGTGAGGAGCAGGATGAATAAGCTCGAGGCGTCTTTCTCTTTTGTTTTACGATTGTTTATCGTTCTTTTGTAAGACCTTCGCCTGGATGGCTTTATCCACTTGAACGTAAACGTTCTTTTTAAGTACTCGAGTCGTTTCAGGCTTTTTTGACTCAAATACTAAAATTGGATACCAGCGTTAAATGACTGGGTTTCATAAATACGATTCTTTCGTCGAGAAGTTAAGTTTTCAGATCCGTTTTAACTTCCGAGCCGAAAGTGAAAAGAGTCGTGCACCAGTGTTAAGGTAACTGGGTTTTTGCAATCATGACGTTAAGAAGTTAATTCTTCCGAATCGTTTCAACAGTGTTAGGATAACTGGGTTTCGGTCACGTGGGACTAATCTTTATCGGTTGCGACCCGAGCTGATATAGTCAATTTCCAGTGCTTAGAAGCGAACTGGGGTACCAGTGTCGAAGTCAACTGGGTTTTCTGAAGACAATTTCTTTATGGCAAGATATCTCCCACCGAATTGTCTTGAATGCTTATATAGCACGCTGTAACCGAAGCGGTGAAATGAGCTCTCTGTTCGTGGACGTGGCCATCATCTGAACAAACTGTTGGCTTTGTGGGTCGATAAGAAGACCGTAAAGGTTCCCGAGATGAATTTCGGGATAGATGTCGAGGTGGATAAAATCGAAAATCCGAAGGGTAAAACTTAAAGAATTTAAGAAGTTCAGTGGGAGTATATGTATACGGACCCACTCCCCCCCCTTTTTTAATTAGGGGGGGTAGCTGAACTCGTCCGAGGACGAGCTGCCTACGTACCCTTTTCAGGGATCAAGCCACCCCGTAGTTCAAGTACATGCGTACCTTAGGTTTTTAGCGGTAATATTTCCTTAGATGCATAGCATTCCAGGATCTAGGTATCGCTTTGCCGTTCATGTTGACGAGCTCATAGACGCCGGGACGGACCACCTTCGCGATTGTGTAAGGTCCTTCCCAATTCGCGCTGAGTTTTCCAGCGTTCTGTTCGGCGGTATTCTGGAAAACTTTGCGCAGTACGAGATCTCCCTCGTGGAAACGGCGATGCTTCACATGAGAATTGTAGTACCGAGCTGTGGCATTCTGATAGTTCTGCATACGGACCAAAGCCAAATCACTTCTTTCGTCAATTAAGTCTAGTTCGTCCAGCATCATCTGAGTGTTTGAATTTTCCTGCTCGGGGAGCAAACGTCTTCTTATTCCGGGATCTCGGCTTCGGTGGGAATTACACACTCCGTGCCATAAACGAGGGCGAAAGGTGTTTCTCCTGTGGCACGTCGCGGCGTTGTTCTGTGCGACCATAATACTCCTTCTAATTCATCGGCCCAGCGGCCTTTCTTCGCGTCGAGGCGCTTTTTTATTCCGTCGAGAATCGTTTTATTCGCCGCTTCAGCCTGTCCGTTTCCCTGAGGGTACCGAGGCGTAGACTTGCTGAGGCGAATTCCCCATTTCTCACAGAATCCTTCGAATCGAGCTGAAATGAACTACGATCCATTGTCTGTAACAATCTCGTAAGGTATCCCGTGACGGCATATGATGTTCTTCCAGACAAAGTTCTCAACTTGTGCGTCTTTGATGCTGGCATAGGAGTCCGCCTCGATCCATTTGGAAAAATAGTCTGTTAGTACGAGGACGAGTTTCTTCTGCTTGGAGTTGTGTAGAGGTCTGATAATGTCCATGGACCAGCGCATGAAGGGGTAAGGCGAGGTGATGGAAGAGAGGAGCTCGGCGGGTTGATGAATGGTTGGTGCGTGTCTCTGGCATTTGTCGCACCGCTGAGAAAACTTCTCGCAGTCTTTGACCATCGTCGCCCAAAAATACCCGTGGCGCTTGATCTTTATGGCTAGGGCTCTTCCGCCAGAGTGATTCCCGCAAGATTCACCGTGTACTTCTTCCATGACTCTCCGAGCTTCGTTTCCTTCGACACAGATTAGGAGGGGCCCGGAGAATCGCCATTTAAAGAGTTCTCCGTCGATCAGAGTATACCGCGCTGCTTTTGCCTTAAGCTTCTGAGCTGCCCATTTTTCAGCAGGAACTTCTCCATCGGCGATGTAACTTCGGATGGCTCCGATCCATTTGGCGTCGCTTCCGTATTCGGGCTCGGTCGTGTCTGTAGTTTGCTGGTCTAGCAGTTCGATGTCCATTTCTTCCGGTTCTTCCGTCTTCCGAGCTGTTAGAACTTGTTCCTTGCTACTGTCTTCGATGCTCGGCTTTTCGATGAATTCAACCGGTATGATTCTCTTCAGATTCGGGTCGGAGGTGCTAGAGCCGCTAAGGCGTCGGCCGACGTGTTCTCGCCTCGCGGGATTCTGGTTAACTCGAACTCTCCGAACTGTTTCGCCAAGTCTTGCTTGAGGGCAAGATATGCTTCCATTCATTCGTCACGAGCCACGTATTCTCCATTGAATTGATTGGCCAAGAGCTGGGAGTCGCAAAAGGCTCGCAGCTTGTTGATCTTAAGTCCCCGAGCCAGCTTAAGTCATGCTATGAGTGCTTCATATTCTGCCACATTGTTAGTCGCGTTGAAATTAAGCCGAAAAGATTGTTCGAGGATCTCGCCTTCTGGTCGACGTGGAGGATCCAAACGGCGTCGAGCGACTCTTCTCGGGTGTTTCCTGTGGGCAGCTCGATGATAAAATCGGCCAGGACTTGAGATTTTGCGCACGTTTTGTTCCTGTATTCGATGTCGTACTCGCTGAGCTCTACTGCCCATTTGGCCAGGCGTCCTGACTGGCTCGGACTGGGGCGCCATGACGACAATCGAGTGGGACTGGAAATATGGCCGTAGCTTCCGAGCTGACATTACTACGGCGAGAGCGGGCTTTTCAGTTTGCGGGTAGCGTGTTTCCGCGTCGGTGAAAGTTTGCGAGACGTAAAATATCGGCTTCTGCTCTCCTCTGTCTTCCCTGACTATGACTCCACTTATCTCTGTATTAGAGACTGCGATGTACAGAAATAATGGCTCGCCCGAGACTGGTTTTGCCAAAACCGGTGGATTAGCCAGATACTTCTTCAGTTCCTGGAAGGCTTCTTCACAACGATCAGTCCATTCGAATTTCTTGTTTCCGCGCAGAGTATCGTAGAAAGCCAAGCATTTGTCAGTGGATCGCGAGATGAATCGGTTCAAGGCTGCGACTCTCCTGGTGAGACGTTGGACTTCGCGCTTGTTCTGCGGTGAGGGCATGTTCAACAGAGCATCGATTTCCTTTGGATTCGCCTCGATGCCTCGGTGGGTTACGAGATATCCTAGGAACTCACCCGACTTTACCGCGAAACGACATTTTGCTGGGTTGAGCTTCATGTTGTGCTTGTTGAGCTGGCGAAAGCAATCGCGTAGATGGGCTATGTGGTTGTTTTCTTCAAGGGATTTGACTAGCATGTCGTCGATGTAGACTTCCATTGTCCTCCCGAGCTGCTCAGAGAACATCCTGTTGACGAGCCGTTGATACGTTGCGCCTGCGTTCTTGAGTCCGAGGGCATGACTTTGTAGCAGTAGATTCCTCGGTCTGTGATGAATGCTGTCTTCTCGCGATCGTCAGGGTGCATGAGAATCTAATTGTATCCTGCGAAAGCATCCATGAATGATAGCAATTTATTTCCCGCGGTTGCTTCCACTAAGCGATCGATATGTGGGAGTGGAAAGCTGTCTTTAGGGCAAGCTTTGTTCAGATCGGTGAAATCGACGCACACTCTCCACTTGCCATTCTTCTTTTTTACCACGACGGGATTTGCTAACCAGTCTGGATATCTTGCTTCGGAGATCGAGCCGATCTTCAGGAGCTTTTCTACTTCGGCATTCACGGCATCTGCGCAATCCCGACCCAATTTTCTTCGCTTCTGCTTGATGGGCTTAAAAGATGAGTCAACATTCAGCTCGTGGCAGATTACGTCGATGCTTACTCCAGGTAGGTCTTCAGCCGACCAGGCAAATGTATTGATGTTCTCCTTGAGAAATGAGACGAGCTCGATCTTAATTTCCTTGGTTAAGTCGCTACCGATTTCCACGCATCGTTCAGGTCGTTCGTCGTCAAGGCTGATGGAGATTACTGGATCCGAGGTAGGCTTCTTCTCCTCGCGTGCCTCCTCGATCTGTAATTGCTAGGGCTGGGCATTCGGGTTTTCGGGTCGGTTCGGGTCGGGTAATTCGGTTTTCGGGTAATTCGGGTTAGGATGTTTAGGAACCGATTAGGAACCGACTGGTTTTCGGATCGGTTTTGGTTCGGGTTCAATCGGTTTCGGGTCAGTTTTCAATTTTGATATAGAACCCGGTGTAGAACCGAAACACAATTCGGGTCGGTTTTTAAACCAGACTAACTCGAGTAAACCATACAAAACCCGAAATACCCGAACATTTAAGAACAAATAACAGAAATAGAATTCAAAAATCAATTCAAAACTAAAGAAGAAATGCATAGTATAAGAGTATTAGAACAACCAGAATTCAAATCCAAACAAAGAGAGAATAAGGAGTTTAGAGTAAAAAAGAAAAACAACATAGAAACAATTCCAACATCCAAAAACCAGAATGCAAAGTACCAAAGAGGGAGAGAGCATAAGAGCTAAGAGTTTAGAGAGAAAAAAAAAATCAATCCAGAATCACTTCACTTCCATACAAGCTTAATGAGTCTTCATCCAGAAGCTACAAAATCCCAATGTCGAAGGATCTGTAGAGATAAAAAGCATGTTAAAGAATAAGATAACAACTTAATACAAAACAAGAACATAAGACATTTTCCCCAAGTCACCACATCATCTTCACTTCTCTCCGATTCATCATCATTCTGATTCTGATATTCATCTTGTTGTCGTTGAGGAGGTGAAGAAGAACCCATCTACAATGCAACAATCAAAGAATATCACAAGTAAAAGTTAAATTCAAGCTCAGTCTCAAAAATCAAAAAGTTAAACAATTTCAAATGAGACTAATGACACTAAACAAAACGAAAATCTCAAATTCTCAATAAAAATGATGCATCTACGTTGTCTCAATTAGAGAACAGAGAAGATAGATTGATAAGTGAGCAACATAATCGAGAAAATGGAACAGATTCCTACGGCTACATACTACAGATTCCTAGAGCTACATTCCTAGAGCTACATTCCTACGGCTACATACTACAGATTCCTACGGCTACATACTTCACAATTACACAACTTCACATTCACACAAAGTCACAATTCACAAACCTATTGTTAAACATAAGAAACTGAAACCCATAAATGACATAATTACAAAGCTCTATCAATCTAAGATGCATAAGAAACTGAAATACAAAATAAATTAAACACAGAAATGATAGAATTACAAAGTTTGAATAAGAGAATACGAGAAAGGAGAAACACAAACTGACGATTGATTTGTCGAAGAAGCTGATAGAGTAGGTTTAGCAGCTATTTCTCGTGAATCGTTTAGGGGATTTAGGGTTTCCAGTTTGCCAATTTGGGGTTTATATAGGCTTTAAGATGAGAAACGAATCAATGGAGTGGAGAAGTGGAAACGGCAAAAGCAATCTAGAAAATCGGAGAGAATATCGGAAACAGGAGATACGTGCTCTCAAGTCTCGATATTTTTGGGTTTATGAATATATGATTACTTCTCTTAACTACACATATCCTTATATATATGTGTATACAATAAATGGCCGGTTAACCGATCGGGTTTCGGTTTACACCCGAACCGAAACCGAACCCGCTGCAAATCAATCATATTATCCGTTCGGTTTATAGAGTCTAACCGAAACCGTACCTGAACCTCATTTTTCGGGTCGGGTCGGGTCGGGTTTTCGGGTTTCGGAGAAAATGCACAGGCCTAGTAATTGCTATAACTGTTTAGATATAGCCTTCTCTTCACTCCGGCCAAGTTTTGATTTCTTGTGGTCGGTCTCAGCCTTTGCTTCAGTGACAGGGTTTCGGAGTTTGTGTGCTGCCATGAAACACATCCGAGAATTCTTCTGACTGCCCCAGATCGTTTTCACACCATTAGGGGTCGGGAATTTGACACAGAGAGGATATGTTGAGGCGACTGCTCGCATTAGATTTAGCCACAGAGTTCCCATTATGACGTTGTAGATGGTAGGTTGATCGGTGACCGAGAAGTTGACTATCTTTGTCACCCCGCCGGCTCGGACCGGTAATTGGATAGTTCCAAGCGTCATAAAAGTTTCTCCTGAAAATCCGAGGACTGGCCTCGGGGTCGGAGTTACCTGTGACATGTCGATGTTCATTTGTCGGAGCGTTTCGCGAAAGATTACGTCGATGGTGCTGCCGGTGTCGACTAATATTCGGTAAATGTCATGGTCTCCTATCGCTAATGTTATGACGAGCGGATCGTTATGAGGCATGTCAAGCCCGTTCGTCTCGCTTTCCTCGAATGTGATCACGTCGTTAGGTCGATCGAAGGATCTTGTCCAGTTGCTAGGCGCCTCAGCTCGGCGTTGATAAGCTTTGATTGCTGCTACGGTGTCAGGACAGTACGGTGATCCACCCATTATGGTGAGGACTTTTTGCCGTGTATTGTCTTGGTCTTCGTCTTGAGTTCCCCAGGTTCTTTTCTAAGACTCCTGATTCCTTGGCTCGGGGTCTCTTCCCGGGTTGGTTTGTTCGGGCTCTGGCTCTGGCTCGAGATCCTTAAGTGTGATGTTCGTCCCGACGTCTCCAGCTAGGAATTTAGTTGCTAACTTAGCGCCGAGGCTTCGGCATCTCGAGGTATGGTGGCCGAAGATTTTGTGGTGCTCGCAATATTCTTGATCATTGCTCGGTGGCTGGTCCCTAGTCCAGGTGAAGGACTCTCTTCCTCCTCCACGGCCTTGGCCTGTGCCGCGACCTCGGCCTCGGGGCGTGTCAATCTGGTAGTTATGGTATCCCGAGAAGTTGCGTCCTTCGTGATGCGTATTCGTACCACTCTCACGCGTCTTCTTCTGGACCGGAGGTGTCGCTTGGGTTTTCTCGGTTTTCTCGGCTCGGGGCGCCTGCTTCGTTGGCTCATGCCTCTTTGCTAGCAGCGCCATCTCTTCTTCGTGGGCGACAAAATCTGAGGCTCGGTCCAGCGCGTCGCGAATTGTTGTCGGTTTAGACAGGTTCAACTCTTTCCTGAATTCTGACTTGTACCAGAGAGCTTTCTTCAAAGCCGAAAGAGCAGCTACATCTGTAATTCCTTCGACCTTGGCTAGCGTCGATTTGAAGGTTGTGTGGAAATCTCTTAACGGCTCGGTGGGTTGTTGGGACAGGGACCACAGATCCGCGTCGGAGGTTCCGGGGTCGATGAGCACGGAGTATTGCTTGAGGAACAGTGTCGACAGCTCGTCGAAACTGTCGATCGAGTTTCGTTCCAATCTTGAAAACCACTCTAATGCGGGTCCCTTGAGGTGTTCCACAAATAGTAAGCATAGACCAGCATCCTTCTCCCCGGGCTTGAACCTGGCTCGGGCCACGGATATCACGAACGATTTAATGTGACACTTCGGGTCGGTTGATCCGTTGTAAGAGTCAATTTTGAACTTCCCCAGATTTGACATCGTCGTTTCGGAAATTCTTTCGGTGAAAGGCGTATTCCGAGATTCTTCCAAAATTCGGTCGATGTTACGTGCGGAGGATGAAACGCTATGTATCTGGGTTTTGACGAGCTTCATATCAGCTTCCGCCTTGGCTAGGGAGGCTCGGATCTTGCTGAGCTCGTCTTCTCTTTCGGATTCTTCGGCCCACCTTATGTTTTCCTCAGTTTCTTCGTCATCAGTGAGATCAGGTCGCTCGGCAGAATCAGCTCCGGCTCTGGTGCGCTCGTCTTGCAAATCATTTGGCTTGTTCGTCAAGTCCACTGCGTCTAGTTCGGTGGGATCATCCTAATTCTCGCGTCTGGTAGGGTCGGCTCGGGTTGCGACTCTGGTGTTGTTGGTTGGTGTCGCGAACGTGAGTCTTGTCGGGTTGATGCCAGGCAAATCCCTACAGGCTCGTGGCGGCCGAGTCTGGAAACGCGTGGTTTTTTTTGCCCACGGGTTGCGATTTCGTCGATTCGCTGCGCCAAGTTTATGTTAGCTTTCTCTTGGTCGTCAGCTTTCTTCTGGAATTTAACCATCATATCCTTTAGTTCGGCTAGGGTCGCTGAGATTGCCGGGTCGGCCTGAGGATTCTGAGGGTTCGGAGGGTTAGGGTTGCCTCCTCCGGCTGGTGGTGTCTGACGACCGTCTTCGTTCATCATCTTTTTCGGTAATTGAGTTCTGCGTCTTAGGGTAAGAGAATTCTAAAGTATCCCCACAGATGGCGCCAAACTGTGGAAGTCGAAACTAACACAATCAAGATTTGTCTAGGGTTTTATTTTAGGGATACGATAAACGTGAATTCTCAAAGAACAACAGAAACAATTGTAACCAAAGATGGTGTTCTTGATCTTATTGATGAAAAGAGTAGTTTTGATCGTGCAAGAGTTTGATTGTAAAAGGAAAAAGGTGTTTGTGCTGTAAGAGCTTTGTGTCGTGTAAATTCTAGAGCGATCTTCCCCCCTTTCTGTGAGAGCCTTGAGTCTCTTTATATAGGGATGATAAACCGCCTCTCCAGCGATATTCTCGGAAGATTTCCATTTATCTTGAAGTCGGCTAGAATATCGCGGATTTGGATAATTTCCTTATTCTTCGGAGTCTTTGGAAGATTTCCTGATTCGAGTCGATCCTTCTAGATTTTCTCCTATCATTTCCGGGTATATCGGAAATGAGGTCTTGCTCAGAAATGATATCTTTGAAGGCAAATATTTACTAAGTACTTGCCTCAGGTGTCTTGATGATTTCGCCTCGGGCACCTTGGAGACTTCCTAGTACTCGGGCCGGGAGACAATGTGACGTTCCCGAACCGAGATATTCACCGGGCTCGGGTATCCGCGAGGGAACCGGCTTAGGTACCCGAACTGCAGATGGGCTCGGTCATCAAATTGGGCTCGGACAACGGGCTCGGGTATCTAGTTGGTTTAGCAGAATCCCGAACCGGATGGCAAAGTGTCCGAGCCGATCAGCGTAGAACCCGAGCTGGTGGAGAGATTGTTCCGAGCTGTTTTGAGAGGATCCCCTGAGCTGGCGTGCACGCTTGCTCATGACGTTTTATGTTTGGCTCGATCCCAGGTGGATGGAATCCGACCCCAACAACCCTTTTCAGGGATTAAGCCACCCCGTAGTTCAAGTATATGCGTACCTTAGGTTCTTAGCGATAATATTTCCTTAGATGTATGACGTTCCAGGATCTAGGTACCGCTTTGCCGTTCATGTTGATGAGTTCGTAGACGCCGGGACGGATCACCTTTGCGATCGTGTAAGGTCCTTCCCAATTGACGCTGAGCTTACCTGCGTTCTGTTTGGCGGTATTCTGGAAAACTTTGCCCAGTACGAGATCTCCTTCGTGGAAGCGGCGATTCTTAACATGAGAATTGTAGTACCGAGCTGTAGCATTCTGATAGTTCTGCATACGGACCAAAGCCGAATCTCTTCTTTCGTCGATTAACTTCAGTTCGTCCAGCATCATCTGAGTATTGGAATTTTCCTGCTCGGGGAGCAAACGTCTTCTTATTCCGGGGATCTCGGCTTTGGTGGGAATCACACACTCCGTACCGTAGACGAGGGCGAAAGGTGTTTCTCCCGTGGCCCGCCGCGGCGTTGTTCTGTGCGACCATAGTACTCCTTCCAATTCGTCGGCCCAGCGGCCTTTCTTCGCGTCGAGGCGCTTCTTTATTCCGTCGAGAATCGTCTTGTTTGCTGCTTCCGCCTGTCTGTTTCCCTGAGGATACCGAGGCGTAGACTTGCTGAGGCGAATTCCCCATTTCTCACAGAATCCTTCGAATCGAGACGAAATGAACTGTGATCCGTTGTCTATAACGATCTCATAAGGTATCCTGTGGCGGCATATGATGTTCTTCCAGACGAAGTTCTCGACCTGTGCGTCTTTGATGCTGGCATAGGAATCCGCTTCGATCCATTTGGAGAAGCAGTCTGTTAGTACGAAGACAAGTTTCTTCTGCTTGGAGTTGTGTAGAGGTCTGATAATGTTCATGGACCAGCGCATGAAGGGGTAAGGCGAGGTGATGGAAGAGAGGAGCTCGGCGGGCTGATGAATGGTTGGTGCGTGCCTCTGGCATTTGTCGCACCGTTGAGAAAACTTCTGTGGCGTTTGATTTTTATGGCTAGGGCTCTCTCGCCAGAATGATTCCCACAAGATCTGCCGTGTACTTCTTCCATGACTCTCCGAGCTTCGTTTCCTTCGACACAGATAAGGAGTGGTCCGGAGAATTGCCATTTAAAGAGTTCTCCGTCGATCAGAGTATACCGCGCTGATATTGCCTTAAGCTTCCGAGCTGCCCATTTTTCAGCAGGAACTTCTCCATCTGCTATGTAACTTCGGATGGCTCCGATCCATTTGGCATCGCTTCCGTATTCAAGCTCGGTCGCGTTTGTAGTTTGCTGGTCTAGCAGTTCGATGTCCATTTCTTCTGGTTCTTCCATCTCCCGATCTGTTAGAACTTGATCCTTGCTATTGTCTTCAATGCTCGGCTTTTCGATGAACTCGACCGGTATGATCCTCTTCAGATTTGGGTCAGAGGTTGAAGCTAAAGCCGCTAAGGCGTCGGCCGATGTGTTCTCGCCTCGCGGGATTCTGGTTAACTTGAATTCTTCGAACTGTTTTGCCAGGTCTTGCGTGAGAGCCAGATACGCTTCCATTCGTTCATCGCGAGCCGTGTATTCTCCGTTAAATTGATTGGCCACGAGATGGGAGTCGCAGAAAGCTCGTAGCTTGTTGATCTGAAATCCCCG